CAAAAGAGAGCCCGCATAGCCAAGTCAATTCTAAGCAAAAAGAAAAAAGCGGGAGGCAGCACACTACTGGACTTCAAAGTATACTACAAGGCTACAGTAATCCAAACAGCATGGTATTGGTACCAAAACAGGGATATAGACCAATGGAACAGAACAGAGGCCTCGAAGGCAACACCACACATCTACAACCATCTGATCTTTGACAAACCTGACAAAAACAAGCAATGGGGAAAGGATTCCCTGTTTAATAAATGGTATTGGGAAAACTGGCTAGCCATGTGCAGAAAGCAGAAACTGGATACCTTCCTGACACCTTACACTAAAATTAACTCCAGATGGATTAAAGACTTAAAATAAGACCTAACACCATCATAAAAACCCTAGACGAAAATCTAGGCAAAACCATTCGGGACATAGGCATAGGCAAGGACTTCATGACCAAAATACCAAAAGCATTGGCAACAAAGGCCAAAATAGACAAATGGGACCTAATCAAACTCCACAGCTTCTGCAGGGCAAAAGAAACAGTCATCAGAGTGAATTGGCAACCAACAGAATGGGAAAAAATTTTTGCAGTTTACCCATCTGACAAAGGGCTGATATCCAGAATTTACAAATAACTAAAACAGATTTAGAAGAAAAAAACAAACAAGCCCATTTAAAAGAGGGCAAAGGATATGAATGGATACTTTACAAAAGAAGACATACATAAGGCCAACAAACATATGATAAAATGCTCATCATCACTGGTCATCAGAGAAATGCAAATCAAAACTACATTGAGATAACATCTCACACTAGTTAGAATGGAGATCATTAAAAAATCTGGAGACAACAGATGCTGGAGAGGATGTGGAGAAATAGGAACACTTTTACACTGTTGGTGGGAGTGTAAATTAGTTCAACCATTGTGGAAGACAGTGTGGCGATTCCTCAAGGACATAGAAATAGAAATCCCATTTGACCCAGCAATCCCATTACTGGGTATATATCCAAAGGATTATAAATTGTTCTATTATAAGGACACGTGCACACGAATTTTCATTGCAGCACTGTTTACAATAGCAAAGACCTGGAACCAACCCAAATGCCCATCAATGACAGACTGGACAGGGGAAATGTGGCACATATACACCATGGAATATTATGCAGCCATCAAAAACGATGAGTTCGCGTCCTTTGTAGGGACATGGATGAACCTGGAAACCATCATTCTCAGCAAAGTGACACAAGAACAGAAAATCAAACACCGCATGTTCTTACTCATAGGCAGGTGTTGAACAATGAGAACACATGGACACAGGGAGGGAAGCACTACACACTGGGGTCTGTTGGGCGGAAATAGGGGGGGGACAGTGGGCGTAGGGGAGTTGGGGAGAGATAGCATGGGGAGAAGTGTTAGATGTGGGTGATGGGGAAGGCAGCAGATCACACTGCCACGTGTGTGCCTATGCAACAATCTTGCATGTTCTTCACATGTACCCCAAAACCTAAAATGCAATAAAACAAATTTAAAAAATAAATCAATAAATAAATAACTTTGAAGAATATCACTGGATTATTTGTAACACAAAAGATAAATACTTAAGGGGATAACCTATTCTCCATGATGTACTTATATCACACTGCATGTCTGCATCAAAACATTTCATGTACCCGATAGATATATTTAATTATTTAGGTACCCACAAAAATATTTTAAAGAAAAATGAAGAATACAAAAAATTACATACCACTCCAGAATGATTTTTTTAAAAAAATCTAACAATACCAAACATTAGCAATAACAGTATTGCATACATTTCTTCTGCAAATATAAGTTAGAGAGCTAGTTGGCAATATCTATCCAAAATAACGGTACATATACTTTAAACTGTAACATTTGCATTATGTACTGGGAGCCCCTTTCTCACGTTGAGAAAGTAATTTAACAGTTTCTATGCATATGGCCTCTGTATAATTCCTGAACACTGTCTCATATGGAATGTTGTTCCGTAATCAAATCTTGCTGAGCCATCAGGGCCTAATTCCTCTAGTTCCACTCCTCCAAGAAGGCAGCGTTAATTGGCCTGAATAACACTGAACTATTCCCTACACCAGTGGTTCCCAAATTTGTCTGTTTGTTGGACTCATAGCTCAGACACATACATCAGTAGTTTTTGAAATTCATCAGGTGATTCCAACGAGCATATCAGTAGGGAACCACTGCCTTCCACTACCAAACACCATTGATATATGTGAGCCGCTTGAGACACAACAATGCCAAATATTGCATAGAGGTGATTTATCATGTCTGCTACAGAAAGGTAAGCAGCTTTAAGGGCAAGCTGAACAGCCTAATATAGTAGAATGTATTGAAATGCAGGAAGTTAATAGCACCAGTTCTCAGTGCTTCCTACCAGAGGTGGCTTGACCGTGTTTGGAGATGTTATGGTTATCACAGTGGGGTAAGGGGTATTACTGACATCCAGTGAGTAGAGGCCAGGGACACTGCTAAACATCCTATACTGCTGGAGACAGCCCTCTCCACCCTCAAAGAATTTTCTAGCCCAAAATACCAATAGTGTTAATGCTGAAAAACCCTGACCTAGCGAAGGGCAAGCAGAGCAGAGCTGACTGAGAAGTATATAAAATGGCACTTACGCAAAAAGGAAAAGATCACTAAAAGTTTTTAACATGTGCAGATAACAACATAAGGGTACAGGAATACTAAAACGTGAAAAAAGTTTATGAGAACATTTACAATTGATTTCCTCCTTCACGCCCATAAGAAAATAAAGTTGTTACGTTAGGTTACTAAGCATTCCCCTGAAGAACGTGTACTATGAGGAAAACCCTGTGATTCTCACCAGTCTCCCAGAGTAGCTGCCCTGTCCTTCATCCCGAACACCCACCTCTAAATTGCAAGTCACAGTTACAGCTTTGTGGAATAAAACAACTAATTATTTTTTTTGAGACACAGTCTTGCTCTGTCATCCAGGGTGGATTGTAATAGCGTGATCTCAGCTCACTGTAAACTCTGCCTCTTGGGTTCAAGCAATTCTCCCGCCTCAGCCTCCTGAGTAGGTGGGATTACAGGCATGCACTACCAAGCCCGACTAAGTTTTGTATTTTTAGTAGAGACTGGGTTTCGCCATGTTGTCAGGCTTGTCTCAAACTCCTAACCTCAGGTGATCCACCCACCTTGGCTTCCTAAAGTGCTGGGATTACAGGCATGAGCCACTGCACCTGGCTTGAAACAACTAACTAACTTTAGGAGGACATCAGTACACCTGTTAAGTGTGGTTAGCTAAATGTGTTAAATTCAACTCATATGTTAGGAAATCAAATAATATTTTTCTTTTTGAGGCTGGGTCTTGCTCTGTTGCCCAGGCTGGAGTGCAGTGGTGTGATTACAGCTTATGATAGCCTCAAACTCCTGAGTTCAAGTGATCCTCCCACCTTAGCTTCTGGAGGAGTTGGCATCACAAGCATGCACCACTACACCCAGCTAATTTTTAAAATTTTGTGTAGAGACAAAGTCTCACTATGTTGCCCAGGCTGGTCTTGAACTACTGGGCTCAAGCAACCCACCCACCTTGACAGATGTGTGCCAGTGCCCAGCTGAAATCAACTAACTTTTAAAGTTAGTTAAAAGTCACATCCTACATAATGATGTTTTGGTCAATGATGACTGTATACAAGACAGTGGTCCCATAAGATTATAATGGAGATGGAAAATTCCTAACACCTAGTGATATCATAGCCATCATAACATCATAGTATAATTATATTTTTATGAATTTGGTGTAGCCTAAATGTACAGTGTTTATAATGTCTACAAGAGTGTACAGTATTATAATGTCTACAAGAGTGTACAGTAATGTCCTAGGCCTTTACATTCACTCATCACTGACTTACCGAGAGCAACTTCTAGTCCTCTAGTAAGTGCCCTATAAGATGTACCATTTTAAAATCTTTGATAATGCATTTTTTCTGTACCGTTTCTATGTTTAGATATAGAAATACTTACCATTGTGTTACAGCTGCCTACAGTATTAAGTACAGTAACAAGCTATATGGGAACAATGGTGCATAGCCTGGGAACAATGGTGCATAGCCTAGGAACAATGGACTTTCCCAGATAGTCTAGGTGTGTAGAAGGCTATGCCATCTAGGTTGGTGTACGTACACTCTGTGATATTTACACAATGACAAAATTGCCTAAGGACACATTTCTCAGGGCATATCCCTGTTAAGTGACCCATTACTGTATCAAGACCTGTTCTGCTTTTCCGCTGTCCTGCACCCTCCCATCTCTCCCTGCCACATTCCTTAATTTCATTCAGTATGTTAGTTCTGATTTCACTATCAACTAAGAGGAGACAGCTCTTGTAAAGCGGTGGTTGTTAACTAAGGCTGTTTTGTAATCATCTGGGAAGATTTAAAAATTACCGAGAGGTAGCCACCCCCTCCCTCACTCTGATTTAGTCAGTCTATGTGGGACTCAGGTATTGGGGTACATTTAAAAAACCCCAGTATTATTCCAATGTGCAGCCAGGGTTGAGAACCATCATCCTAAATGAGCATATAATCCAATGACCATTTATTATCCCAACTTGGCTAGACCTAATTTCTTTAGCTTCCAGAAAATAGGAGACTGGAGAAGGGAAACTTTTCTAGCCAGCAAATAACCTCCAGGTGCAGAAATATAAAAAGAATATGAACCACTGGCATGTTGCTAAGTGCACATCTAATTAAACAATGGAAATCAGTTGGAAAATAGTGTTTAACCTTATACTCTGCTTTATAGACATCTTAGCAAGTATACTTGTGTTTCTGTAAAACTAAAAATAATTTTAAATTTTGGAATAAAAAGACATTGAGAAACAAAGTTTAGCTTGAAACTACTTTTGTAGCATTTTTGTTCACAAATTTCTTTTCCCCAAATTTTACTTCTACGGTTAAACAGTCTTCTTTAAAACGCCAGGTATGACAATGACTCATTTACAAACAGATACCTCAATAGCAGGACTCTCGGCAACGGCAGTGAGAGTGACGGTGCTGGCCAAAGCTTCCGCCTGTACGATAGTCTCAGCATCTGTTGAACATGGCCAAGAAGCAACACTGAATGTGCATCTGAAAACCCCAGGACTGGATGGTATAAAAAGCACTTTTATCTCTTCTGTGGCATGAGGTCTTATGATGACTTTATTCTTGAAAACTAAACAATGATGTGTTGAAAGATCCACCTTCAAACAAGAGCCACAAAGTTTGTTATTAATGGCTTCACACTGAAAATCAAGTAGAATTACCTAGTTTAAGATTCCTTTTTCCTAATCAATCAAACTGCCAAATTTAGACATTTATTATCTCCTCAGAAATGTCAAAACCTTGTCACTCGTGGTCTCTAAAGTACAATGTGTCAAATGCTTCACAAGTTGAATGTTCTTGCTGCACCAAGTCTGTCTCCCCAGTCCATCTCCAAGCAGACATATTGACCTGTACCCTCAGTTGTCTTAAAAAGGGCACTGACGAGGGTCACTCTTTCATAGCCCTCTAAATCTCTCTAGGACACACAATGCCGAACGGGGGGGGGGGGGGAAGAGTCAGGCCAATCGCTGTGGTCCCACAGCCCTGACCCCACCTAGATTGCAGTGACAACTCCAGCTGTCCTCCCTCCTCACTGTCAATGGGGATCTTCTTTTCTATTCCCCACTTCCAAAGACAACACTGCTTCATTCACAGACTCTAAGATGCCCCTAGAAAGTCTCCACAGCCCGCCTTCCACCCTCAACCCTTTCCTTCAATCACCCGCTTTTCATCTAACCTGAGGACTTGAAGTAGAGGGGAGAAGCCAAGATTGTGGGGAGGCAATCTTATTTTACCAGGCAAACAACGGCCACTAAGAGGCACAAGGGAAGAGGAAACACATTCACCAATGCTGGTTCGCAAGCAACGGTCGTAAAACTGGGATATTTCAAAACAGCGGCTGACCATATACATCCCCTACCTACTCATCGATATTTGAATGGTCACTGTAACCAGGAGAGAAGATTTAGAGTCTAGAATTATACAGCTGTAGTTGATTATGTAAGAGGCCTCTGTCACAAGAATTCATATTAAAACTGCATTTCCAGGTATTTCAAAAGCTCATGTAAGAAAATCATCAAATAAATTAGTCAAAAAGACTCCCCTTGCCAAATGAAGCCATAAGCTCCAAGAGTAACTGCTTTCCTTTTTTTAAAAAAAAATTGTAGTTACCTTATATTCAATCACCTTTAACAAAACTAACAAGTAGCAACCACAAACTCGGTGCTTTTAATGATTTAAATAACACTAAAAGCAAATTTATAGGATTTTACAAATAAATAACAATAAAATGTAAATACTAAAAAATGATGGAAAATGCAAAACATACTGTTTCACTCTACACTCTATAAGCACTAGAACAAAAGGGGCCTGAGAAAAAGATGCCATGGCAATGACTGTGTCAGGGGAAATCAAGCACCTAATCACAATGCAACTGTTAGGTTAAATGAGAAAGACACAGAAAACTACCTTTTCACCATTAACACAAACGCTGAGGACCCCAATGCTGACTTGCAGCCAACGGTCCGTTGGGTTGAGCACACTGAGGAGGGTCTGGGAAGCGATCCCGACACAGCAGGCATGAGGAAGCTTCAACTCCTCAGGCACTCGGACACTCCCTGGGTGAGAATAAAACACAGTCAAAAATGCAAGTTACAGCAAACCCCTGATTATAAGCCAAATCTGTTAAATGGCAATGAGTTTATAAGATGGCCTGTTTACACTTCAGAGCTAGAGTCAAAGCGCTCCAGATGGAGTCCTTGACGTTGCATGAGCCTCAGAGGCCTGCCAACAATTTTGTCCTGCTTCCATCCAGCTCAGGAAAAGAAAATTAAAATTGGATCAAGCTCGCAATTACAGTTAATCAATTCTTTGAGGTTAGTGCCTGTAAGCAATCTCTTCCCTTTCTCTGATAAATCATGTCACTGCTTATGCTAAAAACAAACAAACTCCAGAGGCTCTTTCCAGATGTGGACACCTATCAGATTTTAACAATACCACCTATCTTCCAACATCCTCACATAGGTGCTCCAGAGGGCAGAGAAGACAGCACCCCAGTAGCGGTGTGTACCATGTCAGGAAAAGCACAGCTACCAGCTCGGCAGGCAGAGTGACGGTCAGCAAGAGAGAAGCTGCCCCATAGACACACCTGAGTGCTGCCTCTCCACCACAACAGCCACCCAGAGACTCACAGGTGGAAGCGCTCACTCATTCTGGCATTCAACTCTTAACTGCTATTTCCTATGTGAAATAACCATAAAACTGCAATGGCAGAACAAAAGAGAGACAAAGAAGACAAAGTCATATACAGCCTGTCACCTGCATAGTGCAACGTTTTTTCTAAGCCAACTTCAGGGATCCTTGCACAGAAATATATTATGGTGTTCTCAGTTTAGGAAGAAACACAAAACTTACAAGGAATTAATGCTAACCGGTAACTCCTTGAAACAAACTAGCTTTGTGGTATCATTTGAGAAAATAATAGCAAGCAACAATAATAGAGAAAAAGCATCTTACCCAATCCTGATGTCATTCCTGAATCCCATGGTTCAGTTCCACAGTTCGTACCAACAGACGGCACAGGGAAAGGTTTTGCTGTGCTTAGCAGGTTCTCATTTAAGGATTTACAATATGGGTTACAGACGGAAGAGGTACCCATCCATCCAGAGCTGATATTTGGTCCTAGACAAATTCCCATAGCCACTGAGTTCTGCACAGGCTCTCCTGCAACAGCTGGATAGGGAAGGCCTCCTGAGAAGCCACAGACTGTGGTACTGCCAGCATGGCACTGAGGCAAGGCGGCACTTCCAGCTGAAGGGAGAGTTCCCAAATACTGCTGAGCGAAGGGAGCTGTGCTGAGAGAGGGTTGCATCAAGACTGCATGCAGAGCAGCAGGCATGCTCCGCATGTCAGTCACAGAACCATGAACTGTGCTTCTGGGAATAGGAGCGCACTGGCTTTCAGAGGTGGTCTGATGAGAAACCCGGCCACTGAACTCATGGCCAGCAGTTGACATATCTTTAGGAATTATTCTTCGATCACCATCTACAGGCTCCTGACAGGACACAGGGTGTGATGTGGCTGACCCCACCTGACAGCTCAGACCTGACTTGCCCAGGAGAGCCAGCCTGATTGGGTCCAATTCCTCAGGGTTTGATGTCAAATCTACCTCACTGGTTTCCAACAGATTTCCACTTTTGGAGGAAGGATCTTTACTCCATCTAAAGTCAGGTTTCACATATTCAGGCTTGCTACTCAGAGAAGTAGTTTCAGTTGCTTTTCTAGTATTAGAGTTGTTCTGGATAATAGATGACAATGTTCCTTTCCCTCTATTCTGAAATGGAACGTTTTCTCTCAATTTTTCCATATCCCGTTCCTCCAATGGGGCTGGACTGGCTTGAATAATTGTGGTGCTCAACTCGCTGGTGATATCACTCTGAGTGCAACAAAATTTATTTTTAATAATCCACAGATAAACTTAATATAACAATTCGAAACTATGCTGCTATAAGCTCAAGTAACAAAGAGATGTCCATGAAGTTTCTCTTTGAAAATTCATTTACACAAAAAAAGTAGTCTTGCAGTTGTGAAATGCAGGCTTACATTAGAAAATTTGTGTTTGTTGTTTTGTAAAAAGAATTATAAGAAAATAAATAGGAGATATACGCTAAGTATATCTGAAAATTTTACACAGATAAAGGATCAGGTCTAATAAGTTTTTTAAGATTTAAGGGATTTGTGTAAACTTTACAATAAAAATCTGAATAAATTAGTAATGAATGAGTTGGGGGGGGGGCAAGCAAGTTTGAAATAACAACCTTGAGGTCAGGCATTAGCTCAGTAGGCTAGCAGGGCCCCACCCCACCATCTGTCCATGCTGCTGCCTAAGCTTGAAGATTCAAAGATGTTAACTTTTTTTTGTTTTGATTTTTTGAGATGGAGTCTTGCTCCTGTTGCCCAGGCTGGAGCGCAATGGCGCAACCTCAGCTCACTGCAACCACCACCTCCCGGGTTCAAGCCATTCTCCTGCCTCAGCCTCCCAAGTAGCTGAGATTACAGGCACCTGCCACCACGCCCTGCTAATTTTTTTGTATTTTAGTAGAGATGGGGTTTCACCATGTTGGCCAGGATGGTCTTGAACTCTTGACCTCAGGTGATCCGCCCACCTCAGCCTCCCAAAGTGCTGGGATTACAGGTGTGAGCCACCAAGCCCAGCCAAAGATGTTAACTTTTATGTGTTCTAAGCCCTCTCCCATTTCTAAACTTTTGTGGTTCTATGAAGCATGAAATTAACAATCCCAGTAAATGTCCACACTTATTTCTTTGTACATAATACATAACCTGAGGAGTAACACCTACAGCTCTGTGGGTTGGACCAGCTGAAATTTGGAGACTAGATAGATGTAACCTTCACTGACTGCTTTGGTACTTGGTTTATAAATTTCTCCTGGCCAAAGCTTCAGAAATAAAGACACTAAGACACAAAGACTGTATTATTTGCCAATTAATAATAACAATATGTATCCAGTGGTGACTTACTAGGTGACCAGCACTGCCCTCACATACTATTCCTCCTTACAGATGAAGAAACAGATTTTGAGGGAAGTTTAGTAATCTGTCTGAGGAGGCAGAAGATAAGTTATCTGACACGATAGCCCAGCGCTCAACCACTACGTTAAGAGTATGCAGACTCAATATCAACAACAACGTGAAAAAGACAGCTATCAAAGAAAAGAGTGTAATGCTCTAACACTATGCTGTGTATTCAGTAACTCTTCAGTAGCTTGGTGGAAAAGGACTATGCAGCATACCCACAGCAGTCATAGTTAGCTCATTAAAAAACTGAACACTTTCACATCCACAACATACACACACAAAAACAGGTAACACTAGCTACTCCCACATAAATCTCTCTGATCTTCTATTCTATCCCCACTGGTATTGCCTTGGCCTAAGTGAGCACTGTATCTTGCCTGAACCACTACAGTGGTCTCATGACAAATCTCTGATTTTAATTTTGTTCCTCCTGATCCCTCCTTCTTCACTGCTGTTGGAGTGAGCTTTTAAAACATCAAACCAGCCTCGGCTTGGTGGCTCATTCCTGTAATCCCAACACTTTGGGAGGCCAAGGCAGGAAGATCACTTGAGGCCAGGAGTTCAAGACCAGCCCTGGCAACATAGCAAGACCCTGTCTCTAACAAAAAAAATTTTTTAATTAGCCAGGTGTGGTGGTGGGCACCTATAGACCCAGCTACTCGAGAGGCCAAGGCAGAAGGAACACCTGAGCCCAGGAGTACAAGATCAGCGTGAGGAACATAACAAGACCCTGTCTCTACGAAAAAATTAAAAATTAGCCAGGTGTGATTAGTGCACACCTGTAATCCCAGCTACTTGGGAGGCTGGGGCAGGAGGATCATCTGAGACTAGGAGTCCCAGGCTGTAGTGAGCTGTAATCGTGTCACCGTAATCCAGCCTGGGTGACAGAACAAGACCATTTCTAAAAAATACAAAAAACAAAATCAAAACAGATCATGACAGTGACCTGCTTAAAAGCCTTCAAACCCTGATATTTTAAAATCAGCACGGTTCACGGTTTGGCCACCCCTCTTCTAGCCTCATCTACTTCTCCCTACTGACATGAGTCACTGTGGCTATTCTAAACTTCCTGGAGCACCTCAGATGCAGTGTGTATCTTACAACTCTCCACCTCCCCGTGTGTTAACTCTGCTTCCTCTCTGCCTAACTCCTAGCAGTCCTGCAGAGTATGGCTTCAGTGTATTTATTCCTGCCAAAAACCTTTGCTGAAGCACCCTCCAGGCAATCAGACTTCCAACCCCCACCTTCTGAGTCCCAATAGTATGTGAGCAGCATGGTGCACTTCATTACACAATGTGCCTTGCCAGACAGGGCTCTTTGAGGGCAGATCCTAAAATATGTGTACCTCTGTGACTACCAGCATGAGTAGGTATTTAATATGTGTACACATACAATAATCATTTTAAAGGTAAAAGAGAAACGGAAGTTTTACAGGCTTGAACTGTAGTCTGAATCAAACATCTGTAATACTTTACGAGTTGACAGCCTTAGTAATAAATAATCCAAGTGGCTGCCCACCTTGCAGTCCTCCAGGCCATCATCTGTGGTTGTGGTAGGATAGGAGCTCTCTGGTTGGGACACATACGTCAGCCTGCTCATACCAGCAGGCGAGCAGGCCAAGAGAGACAATTCCTGCTCACAGGGAGGCTGCTGCTGCTGCTGAGCTGCTGAACCAAAGGTCTCTAACGTGCATCTGAAAAAGAAGAGTAGCTCACATCAGGAATTCTCCAGTCCTCCAGCTATCTATATTAGCAAAAAATCATTCCTATGTGCCTATAATCTTGCAAATAACTCAATCACAAATCCAATGTTTAAAATTAATTATCTAAAATTGTAAAGGATATTCCCACTGAATGAAGCATCTGTTTAGCTACTATAAAATGTATTGTGGCATTTTCATTAACAAATACCACATAAAGACACACAGCAATGTTAGATATTCATTTTATAAAAATCTGCTGAGTATCTGATATGGGGAAATGAACAGAAGCATTCAAGAATTCCCACCCTCAAAGAGCAAAGAGGAAAAAAAAATCACACAGATAAGTGCAAAGAAATGGAAATGGTCACACACCACTATGAGACTATCAAGTGGTACAACTTTTGGTTGAGCAATTAAGCGGTACATATCAAAGGCCTCTTGACTCAGACATTCTACATCTAGGAATTTATCCTGAGGAAAAAAAATTAATGATAAATATAAAGACTTCGCAAAAAGGACATGTCATCACTTCACTGTGGATAATAAGTGGGAAATCTTAAATCACACAGGAGGAAGTAAACTACAAAAATCAGAGGTCAGACATGCAATACAACACTATGCGGCCATTCAAAAGCATGTTGTTCTAGCTGTGGCTCAGACAGATGTCCCTGCAATAAAACGTAAAACGAAAAGATCAGAAAGCGACAAATAGTGAGTCCCACCCCTATCTACACATACACCAGGGTTACTTCCTCATTATTCTGTTCATTAGCACCTTTCATAGGGCTGAGGGGCAAGGAGGAGAAAAGAGACTGCACCTCTTGAGGGGAAGCTGCAAAGTCACAGTGTAAAAGAGCACAGGGGATAGGAAGTAAGTGTCAAGCCACCTTTGGAAACAGTCTCCACACCTATGCTCTGCCAGTTAGCTTCAATTCAGCCCTTCACTTGACTGGATTCCACCATCTTTCTTTTTTGTACAAAGTTCAGAATATTCAGCTAGGCAATGGACATATACAGAAAATTCAAATTTGTATTCTGAACTTTTAAAAAGTCCCAAATCAAGATGGTGTCAAAATACCACTTAGTAAGTTTCTAACCAATGGCAACAAAGTATTACTAACCAAATTGATTCAGGGCTTCTTTAGCTTCTGCATGACATGTACCTACATGGGTTTCTGTATGCACATGAACACGTGCATGCACATGCATACACATACACACACAGACACAGCATGATATAGCACGGAAAATGTTCTGAGTCACTGGATGATGTGCTGTATTAGTTTGACTTCTTTGGTTAACAAGAACAAGTGCGTTTAGGTAAAATTTCCTCAAATAATGAAAAGTGAACTGCAAGAACACATGCAAAATAAAAGAGGGGGCATATTGTATGATATACCAAAGTAATAATGAAGAATCAACACAGAGATATAGCCTTAAAAAATTATTAGACGAAAAATAATGAATTTGGGCAAAAACTTGCAAAAAGATCAAGTCAATTCAAAGGCAAAAAGAAATCAGCCTAGTCTCATATATCCCTCTAGTCTTCCATAGAGACAATAAAGCAATACCTATAAGAAACATAAGAGAAGAATGTATAAGCCAAAGACTTTAAACATACTATGCCATGTCACGGCCACATGATCTTCAAATTTGCTTTGGGCTGGGTGACCAGTAATATATCTGCTAAAATATGCAGGCCGGGTGTAGTAGCTCATGCCTGTAATCCCAGCACTTTGGGAGGCCAAGGCAGGTGGATCACCTGGAGTCAAGAGTTTGAGATCACCCTGGTCAACATAGTGAAACCCCATCTCTACTAAAGATACAAAAATTACCCAGGCATGGTGTCATGTGCCTGTGGTCCCAGCTACTTGGGAGACTGAGGCAGGAGAATCACTTGAACCAAGGAGGCAGAGGTTGTAGTGAGTTGAAACCATGCCACTGCACTCCAGCCTGGACCACAAGCGAGACTCCCTCTCAAAAAAAAAATAAATAAATAAAAATAAAATGCAATTAACTATTAAACAAGAAGTGACGTTGTATATGAAAGTGAAACTGAGACATCCATAAGGAGTCAGAGAAAGACCTAAGCTCTCCACTGATAATTAGCACCATTACCATGTTGCTTCAGATGAATATGAAAAACTTTAATGGCAGCTTGGGAAATAGTTAATAGATATCTTTGAAATCCAGTATTTTGAAAGAAATCAAAACTACATTTAACATTTTTGTTAATTTCACTGGTTAGGCAAAATTTTCCATTTATTAGACTCTTTCTATAAACATATAAAAGATTTCTTATAAAGCCACAAAGGACATTCATAAAATTAAAATTTTATGAACAGTTATTCATCCCAATATCATGTAGATAGCAAAACAGTTAAGATACAAAGTGCTCACCAGAAGTATCAAATGAACCATGACAGATCCATTATGCAGTATGTAACATTACTAGTTTTCTTTTAAATTCATTGAATAATTGTTACAATGAGTGAAAAAAAGGCAGTGTACAAAAATTTGCACAGAAAAATAGCTGGAAAGAAATTCACAGCTTACAAGAATTATCTTTGAGAGATGAATGCACAGATGAATAATTTTTCTTCTTTACACTGTTTTCCAATTTCCTATACTTAGCACGTATTTTTAATTTTTAAAAAAGAAGGTACACACTTACCCTGATGAACTTGTTCCGGACATTTCACTAGGAGAAGAATGACTCAGTGGTGATGTGGAAGGTCTGAAGCTCTCCTGTTCATCCTCTGAGCCACGTCCACCATGCTCAGGAGAGGTCTTTTTCAAATCTATCAGATGGGAGTATTTTCCAGTGAGAAGAGAAAATAAACTTTGTAATTTTACGAATGTGACCAATAACTCATACACTTACCGCTATTTTTAGGTGAGACTATGCAATGGTTTTCAAAAGTCACATGCTTTTCACTGTTGCTTGTTTCCATGACACACTCATTCTGCCTCTGATTTTCTCTATTATCTCGTATTTCTTCACAGTCTTTTAACAGACAAAGGGATGTTATGCTGGGGTTCTTCACTGATGAATAACTATCAGATGGAGTAGAAATTGAGGTGGCTTTTTCACTGTTACCAACATCTGCTAATTTGTCGTCAATGGAACATGTCTTCACATCAACTATTGCACTGCCATTCTCTCTCATATTTGTAAGTGAATTTGAAAAGTTTATAGTTCTAAATGACTCTTGGTTCTCACTCTCCCCATTTTCAACATGAACAACAGCTGCTGTGTTTTCTTCTGGTTCCCTCATACTTATACTAGTAGCACTTACATCCACTGTATGAATATCTTGAGCAGTTGGTTCTTTGGGCAAAGATAAATCCCAAATATCAGATATACCAGCCCTTGAAAAGTTTTCCATTCCATTTTCATATCTACTAATTTCTGTTTTTCTAAGATATTTCTCCATATCAAATGCATTGGATCCATTACTTTTTTCTAAATCATTAGGTAAGAAATGACACACATGAGAACAGTCCTTTAGTTTCTCATCTTCCTGAAAAGTCTTGTCTCTGGTTTTATTTGAAAGTGCCTTGATCATAGCAGCAAGTTGGGAAGGATCAGCATTAACTGATGCCTCTGTGATGGCTGAAGCAATAGTGCTGATCCTAAGCATAGAATCACCACTATCTGGTAGCTTGTCTTGGTATCTTTGGGGTTTGTTGTTCATGAAGAAATTGTCCTAGATGTAAGAAAATTAAACATTAGATAAATTTACCCTGAACATTCAGTTTCATGAACATTCAGTAGTCCTCCATTATCACTGGGAAATGCATTTCAACCCCAAGTGGATACCTGAAATCTCAGATAGCACCAAATCCAACTGTCGTCAATCAGGGCATGTTTCTGTTCCTATCTTCTACCCAAAAATGTAATGCCTTTTCCATCTTAACTAAGCACTTATCACTCACTGTGGCTAGAACTTTTGCAGTTTGGAGTGTGAAGCATGAATTTCTCTGTCCTTCTTTGCAATTTCACATGAAGAAGGTTCATTTTTACCACAGACCTCAGCAACTTCAGCATATTTTTTTTTCTTTCCTTATTAAGTCGAGAACTTTTACCTTTTCACTTGAAGGAAGCACTTGACAGTGCTTTGGTGTATCCAAATTGCCAGCAACACTACTCTTGCACTTTGGGGCCATTACAAAATAAGAGTGGCTTGAATACACGCACTGCGGTATCACTGGAGTTGATCTGATCACCAAACGTTACTAAATGACTAATGGGCAACAAGTGAATATGGGTGGAGAAGTTGGACAAAAGAAAGACTCACATCCCACCAGGATGGAGCGAGGTGGTGGGAAGATTCCATCATGCTACTAAGAATGACATATAATTTGAAACTTATAAACTATTTCTGGAATTTTTCATTGAATATTTTTGTGCCACAGTTGACCATAGGTAACTAAAACTGCAGAAAGGAAAACTGTGAAAAAGAGGGGTCTACTGTATTCATTTGATCTTTATAAGCATGATGTAGGATTTAACAGCAACAAAAAAATTAAGGGTATACCAGCTAAATATCCTAATGAAAAAGACAGCTGCTATCAACTTTAATTATATAGTACCAGGTTATTTATAAAATGGATTATTGTTTATTTTTAAAAAATCATCAGGAATGACATGGTAAAACTAAATCAAATAATTTTAATCCAAAATTTAAGATACTAAGATTAAAAAACTGAGTTATTGTGATAACAAGTATAATTCTTAGTAATTTCATTCAACTGTTAGAATTATTTATAAGCAAGACATAAACAGGAATCATGAGTAAAAAAATGAAATGAGCATAACAGTTAAAAAACATAAAACTAACAACAACAAAAAAACACATGTTAAGAATTCTGTCTCTAGTTAACAGCAGACTAGGTAATGCAAACCAGCCTCTTGCTAAGAACAATTAGAACAGAACAGTGTATTCAAAAACATCTCTTTGAAAGCACTAGCAAGCTTAAAAAGCAGTGTAAATAAAATAAAAAAATAAATGAAATAATAAAAAGCAGTGTAAATTTATGGGGCCAAAATTTAAGAGAAAAAAGTAACCCAGAGAGGTAAGCCCAACATTGGGGATGCTGTTCCCTAAGGGTATCTGCTCCTTCAAGAAAAGGCTAAACAAAGCTATTCTTGTGGGAATACAGGTATAAAAATTGAATCTGTCAATGAAATACTGGTATTGGGGGGGTTCAGTGTGTGTGTGTGTGTGTGTGTGTGTGTGTGTGTGTGTGTGTGTGAGAGAGAGAGAGAGAGAGAGAGAGAGAGAGAGACAGAGAGAGAGAGAGAGAAAAAGACATCAAAGTAAAACATTCATGCTTCGGGATGAGACCACAAAGGGATACACGCAGCAGTAAAGGTAAACCAACATCTGACTGGTTCTCATATGGATGAGGCTCAGCTCCAATCAGCTCAAGTCCAATAAATGAATTAAAGTGATCTGCAATTGCTAGTGTACCGTGCTCCCTATCAGAAGGAGACATAAATCCAGTCTGGAAGATATCATCTCCCTTAGCCTCAAATTATTTCAATGATTTCTCCTCTAAACTGTAAAGTAAAACAAAAGCTACCCAAGCACATCGCAGTAAAATGGATAAAAATCAAAGAGAAAATAACAAAAGACTGATAGCCAACTTTTAAAATGAAATGACATGAAAAAAATACATTCAAAGTGCTAAAAGTTACTCCTAACAATTCTATAGCAAGCAAAAATACACATCAAGACACATCAAGAATAACAGGGAGATAAAAACATTTTAGAGAGACAACAAACAGAAAATTCATTATCACCAGTCCCTTACATAAAAAAAAAAAAAAAAAAAAAAAAAGTAGGGATATTCTTTAAAAAGAAAACTAATCTCAGATGAAAGATCAGAAATATATATTGGTCATTTATAAATCATCATCATGTCTTGTAAGGTTTAAATACAGAGATAAAACATAAAACAAGAAAAGCTTTTAAGTCTGGAGTAAATTGAGTATTTTGTGATCCTTGGGATGCCAAATAAGACAAAGTAAATGAAGAATTTTTACTAAATATCAGTAAGCCAAGGCACAGTTTATAATTATTTGAGTAATCATTAAAATAGTATATATAATTACCAAATCAACAGAGAAAATTGGAATCATATAAAACCCTTCAACAATCTCAAAGAATGCCTAAAGAAAAAGAACAAAATCTAGGTGAAAAAAATAAAAAGCAAATAAAGTAAGCAGATTCAAACCCCCATGTGTTGGGAATTCCATTAAGTGTAAGTAGAAAGACTGTGATATAGTTTGGATGTCCCCTCCAAATCTCACCTTGAGATGTAATCCCTAGTGTTGGAGGAGGGCTAGCGGGGAGGTGTTTAGGTCATAGGGGTGGACCCCTCATGGTCTGGTGTTACCTAGTGGTAGTGAGTGAGCTTTCCCAAAATCTGGCTGTAAGTGTGTGGCTCCTTCCCCATCCTTGCTTTGGCCATGTGACATGCCTGGTCCCGCTTCGCCTTCTGCCATGATTACAAGCTAACTGAGGCCTCCCCAGAAGCCAAGCAGCTGCCTACACTACATTTCCTGTATAGAACACAGAATTGTGAGCCAATTAAACCAATTTTCTTTATAAATTATCCAATCTCAGGTATTTCTTTATAGCAATGCAAAAAACAGCCTAATAACACAGCCAGACTGCTTAAAAAGCAAAATCCAACAGCATGTCCCTATAACATCTAAAATATTAGGATATAGAAAGATTAAAAGTAAAATAATAGTCAGAATATAACATGCTAACACTAACCAAAGAAAGCTGGTATTGATATTGTTAATGTCAGCCTAGATTTAGCAAAAAAATTATTACTACAGACTGAGGGAGACATGCTCAATAAAGGATTTGAATTTTTGTCAGCAAGAACAATTTTTAGGCACCAAAATAATTTTATGAAGAATTTAATGCAACAAGTTTTACGCACAATTTGTATACACCTAAAACTATAGCTTCAAACATTTAAAGCAAATGTTAATATGCCTATAATGATTAATGAACAAATCCACAATCATGATGGGAGATTTTAAAATCTATGTAACTGAAATAACAGCATAGGAGACGGATCCAAGATGGCCGATTAGGAGCAGCTCGGGATTGCAGCTCCCAGCAAAAGCGTGGAGGGACTGCAGGGAAGTTCGCATGGAACCTAGGCCGAGCCCACAACAGCTCAGCAAAGCCTCGGCAGACAGACTGTGACTAGGCTGCCTCCTTGCTGGGCACGGCAGCCCTGAAAGAAGGCAGAAGCACGACAAAAACTTATAAATAAACCCCTAAGTCCCTGGGACAGAGCACCTGGGGAAGAAAAGAAAGGCGTTTATGACTTCTGCTACAGCAGACTTAAACGTACCTGCCCAGCAGCTCTGAATGAACAACAGAGCTCACAGCTCAGCACTTGAGCTCCTATAAAGGACAGACTGTCTCTTCAAGCAGCTCCCTGACCTCCAGATATCCAAAGAGTCACCTCATAAAGGAGAGCTCAGACTGACATCTGGCAGGTATCCTTCTGGGACAAAGATAGCAAAAGAAGAAACTTGCAGCAACCCTTACTGTTCTGCAGCTGCTGCAGGTGAAGCCCAGGCAAGCAGGGCCTGGAGTGGACCTCAGCAGTCCTACAGCAGAGGGGCCAGACTGTTAGAAGGAAAACTAAGAAACAGAAATAACTTCATCATCAACAAACAGAACGTCCACTCAGAGACCCAATCTGAAAGTCAACAACTACAAAGACGACAGGTGGATAAATACACAAAGATGGGAAGAAACCAGCACACAAAGGATAAAAACACCCCAAAACAGAACGCCTCTCCTCCTCCAAGGAATCACAACTCCTCACCAGCAAGGGAACAAGACCATATGGAGAATGAATGTGATGAATTGACAAAAACATGCTTCAGAAGGTGGGTAATAAGAAACTTATCTGAGCTAAAAGAACATGTTCTAACCCAATGCAAAGAAACTAAGAACCTTGAAAAACGATTCGATGAAATGCTAACGAGAATAAACAGCTTAGAGAGGAATATAAGTGAATTGATGGAGCTGAAAAACACAGCACGAGAACTTCGCGAAGCATACACAAGTTTCAAAAGCTGAATTGACGAAGCAGAAGAAAGGTTATCAGAGGTCGAAGATGAACTCAATGAATTAAAATGAGAAGGCAAGATTAAAGAAAAAAGGGTAAAAAGAAATGAACAAAGTCTCCAAGAAATATGGGACTATGTGAAAAGATCTAATCTACGTTAGATAGGGGTACCTGAATGTGACGGAGAGAATGAATCCAAGCTGGAAAAGGATATTATCCAGGAAAACTTCCCCAACCTAGCAAGGCAGGCCAATATCCAAGTCCAGGAAATACAGAGACCACCACAAAGGTATTCCTGAAGAACAGCAACGTCAAGTCACATAATCATCAGATTCATCAGGGTTGAAATGAAGGAGAAAATGCTAAGGGCAGCCAGAGAGAAAGGTCGGGTTACCCACAAAGGGAAGCCCATCAGACTCACAGTAGATCTCTCAGCAGAAACCCTGCAAGCCAGAAGAGAGTGGGGGCCAATATTCAACATCCTTAAAGAAAAAAAGTTTCAATCCAGAATTTCATATCCAGCCAAACTAAGCTTTACAAGTAAAGGAGAAATAAAATCCTTTACAAACAAGCAATTACTCAGAGATTTCATCAC